ACAAAAGACAATTTGGGGACAATTACTAGAAATACCAATTTAAGAGAACTTTGGTACAAAAAGCATAACACATTTGATATGCTCAGACATCTGTCACTAAGAAGACTTGTATACCTCTGTATTTAAAACACTCTGGTTATAGTAGACTATACTATGAAAAATTTCTTCCATATCACTACTGAATCATTTTTTTATTTTTTTTAAATATATAATACATCAGAGATTACCACTTCTTTTATGACCCCATGCAATTTTTATTAAGTACATTGGATGCTGTCAAGAACTTCAACTAATTAAATGCTTGCATGATTTTTTATAAATAAAATCTATTTTCAAAGTTTAAGATAGGGTATTACTCTTATCTATTTTATATGGAATCATATTGTTTCTTCAAAATTGTAAATAATTTCTAGATAACTTATTAAATGATACAAGGATTTTAATAACATGGTTCTAAAACCACTATCCATGGAAGTCAATGTTAACCCTCACAAAAAGGAAGATAGTTTCAAGAGTTGTGACCTTGTTTGGTTATTTCTGAAAAGTTCAACACAGTATAATAATTAATGTACACATATTTCCAACTATTTTAATACATTGGTGGCATGTGATCTGAACAATGAAAATGTTTTCTAAACATTCTTGAAACTCAGTGAGATGCCATTTTATTTGTCTTCACATAGTTTCTATTCTCCAATAGCCACTTGTTTTCCCATTAAGGTAGAAAATGGTTAAAAGCACTTTAAAGGGCACTATGTTTTTTACTTTGCATATTTTTTGAGCCTTCTACACTGCTTAATTATTAAGTGCCTATTGAAATAATGAATGAAGATGGTACAAATGGCTTGACTATATATTCTTATGTTAAGTTGGTTGTTTGATTCATTTATGGTTAGTAGAAAAGTATAAAATTTTATAGCTTTTAAAATGAGTTTCTCTCACTTCTTAATTTGTTTTAATGGGGAACATACCTCCATTATCCTCATTGTAGTTGTTTGTGATGGAGATATAGAAAAGGATGTGATAAACCAGGAAAATGTGGAAATACAAAGGCTCTGAGGGAAGAATTCTCTGTTTGTGTACATCCCCTATTTGAAAAACATGATTATTTTTTGGGGAGAGGGAAATGCCTTACTTTGAAGATAATTTTCATTTAAAATTAACATGATATGTTTCACATACCCATACTTAGGAAACAATTCTTATATACTAGGATTCAAACTGCAAAGTGTTCCTTAACTAGTAAACTAGAACTTATGATAACCATATTTTCACTAATCCAAAAACATCAAAGCCATAAAATAAACATACTTCAAAAGTTTTCATACTACTATAAAAGTTCATTTGTATAAAACAACTAGGAAAAGTATCTCTTTTTTCTGGTGTTGAAGCTTGTATCTTAACAATATTATTTTTGTTACTTATTGGACATTACCCTTAAATTTATATAAGGTGGAGTAATACAACTATACTAGGTATTTACAACTGTTTCAAGAGAGGTGGTTCTCTTGGAAAAATCACAAAATTGTTCTCTATTAAAGTAAAAGCACTAGAGAGATACCAATTTTGTACTTTCACTTGGCTATAAGAATATATGTTTTATTTTAAAATGTACATTTATATTCAATTACACATCTATTAGAAAACAAAGTAATTTTTTCAAGTTGCACATTTAGGCACACAGACCTACAATCCAAATTAAATGTATTTGTTTACGGTGTCTAATAAGACTAAAATTCAATTATATACCAACTTAATTATGTCTCAATGACAGTATGTTGGTATAGCTTCACCAGAATGAATATTAGTTGATGGTATCAAAAATAGTTTTGCAAACATATAGCAATCTTAGTTTGTGCATACAATTCAGAGTTATAGAAAAAATATTTGATAAAGATTAAAAATATAATGTTACTTATTTTCAGGAGAAATAAGATAAAGCAAATTTTAAGTCAAAAGTAGAAAAAGTTTAGGGTTCTTTGCTTCTTAATATGTGAAAAAACTTAGTAAAATTATATTTATTTAAATTATAAATTAGAATATAATACTTTTGCCAGCTTCCTTATAAAATGGGAATTTTGGAGATAGTAGTTTCAAATGTCTTGATTTATGGTATTTAAGATTCATTTAACTTTACTCTTTATGCAAATAGAGGGATGAAACCAATACTTGGCTATTTGTAACCTTGATGGAGGTAGTATATGAGCCAGCCACAGTGCAATCAAAGCTATGTTTCTATTTACCAGCTGTATAGCACATGTATCTTTCAAATGGAAAACCATGTTTCTGGCTACAGGAGTCAAAAAATAAGTAATACTGGACATCTTTTCTCCTCTCTTCCATGGCTTATATATTCAAGTAAATTTTAAAAAGGAAGTCTCTTGGTCCTGTTCAGTGACCTAACACTCTGAATTGTAGGAAATGGAGAAGAAAATCAAAGTCTACATTTATATAAACTTACCTTAAAAAATAGATCACAGTCCCTGATGATACAGCAAACTTCACAACATCTGGTGGTTCAGCTTCTACTATAATGTCAAAAATAGGGAGTGGAATACTTGAATTGGAGTGAAAGTTTAAATCGGCAGGATACTTGACACCAATTGGATTCTGGATCCTGGATAAATCTTTTAAAAAGCCAACTTCCTTGGCATCAAGGACATCCTTGGACTTAGTGGTATGATTAAAGCTAGAAGAATCCATGGAGCCAGAAGAGTCCTTGAGGCAGGCACCAAATTTGTGGTTATCAACAACTGTATAATTTATACCAAGCTTAGATGAATCAGAAAATTCAGAGGTGATCAAACTTTCAGGAGTGGAAGTATAGTTTGTGCCAGCAGCAAAAGTGGGGGAGTTAGCATAAACAATATTAGGAATGGAGGAACTGGTACCAATTTCTAATTCAGGCTCAGACAGATTATTAATATTGCTTATACTGGTGGAATTATGAACATTATGAGTATTTGTGGCATCATAGTTGGAGTTGGTGACAAAGTTGGATTCAAAGGCATGAATCAGTCTAAGGTCATGGTTAATGCCTGAGGCACAGTTGGTGCCAGCAGTATAGCTAGGGCTAACAGCACCACTACAACTAGTTGTATTGCTAGTGTCAATGACATTGGCAGTAGTAGTTGTAGAGCTGTGTCTGGCAGCATAACTGTTTTTGGCAATATAGTTGGGGTTGACTAGAGGGATAGAACCTACTGCATGGGTAAATCTTGAGACACAGTCATGGTCTGAGTCATAGTTTGGGACAGCTGCATAGTTGTGTCCAGCAGCAATGGTGGGTTTTGTATCATACGTGGAGTCAGCATCCTTGTTAGAACTAATAGCACTATTGTGACTTATAGCACTACTAGGCCTGACATTATAGTTAGATCCAGGGTCAATTTTAAGGCCAGAGCCGTTGTCATTGGGGACAGGGCTATTGTTGTTCAGGCCAGGACCATTGATTTTGAGGCGGGAGTCATTGTTGCTGGAGTCAGGGCTGTTGGGACATGATACGATATTTTGGGGGTCAGGGGCATTGTTTTGGAGGCCAGATATATTGATTTTAGAGCCATGTCTATTGTTGGGACTAGTACCATTGTTGGGGCAAATGTCATTGCCTGATCCAGTGGCATTGTTAGTGCCAGAACCATTATTGGAACAAGAAATGTAGTTCAGGCCAGTTCCATTCTGCAGCACAGAGGTAGATTTTGTACTAGTGCCATTGCTGGAGTTAACAGTACAGTCCTGATCAACACAATTGTCTAGGCCAGGGGTATTGTCTGAATTAATGGTATGTTTTCCCCCATCAGAATCAGTGCTGTATTTGGAATTAGCATCATTTTTAGTGGCATCATCAATATTAGAGTCAGGTTCATTGTTGGAGTCAGTTCCATTGTTAGAGTCACCATCACCGTTGGAATCAGCTCCACCTGTAGGGTCAGCATCACCACCAGGATCAGATCCACTGTTTGTGTCTGCATTATGTTCAGCATTGCTATCTTTGGAATCACTGTCATCAGGGTCAGACTTATCTTTGGGATCTTTCTTTGGTGTTGTTTCCATCCCCAGAGTCTATTTCCTTTTCAGAATCTTTTTCATCTACAGAGTCTGTCTCATCTTCATGTTCTGTCTCATATTTGAGAAGAGGCTCGTCATTGGCACTGGCCTTATCTTTGAGGCTTCTAGCAGTAATCAGTTTAGTATCATTGTCAGGTTTGGCCTCATTTTCAAGTTTAGCAGTAAGGTTAAACATGCCCTCATTTTCAAGGCCAGGAACATTGCTGGTGTTGATAACATTGTCTGGGCCAAGTGTACTATGGGAGCTCATAGTATTTTCAGGATTCATGGGAAAGGTATGAGTAGCAGTAGAGCCTATGTGATTTTGGACAGCTGAGCAACTTTCACAATGTAAATAAGAACTTGAGCCCAAGGAATATTTAGAATCCTCCCGGTGTAAAGGACAGCAAAAGCCCACAGAATGCTTAGGATCCAGGGATCGAGATAAAGGGCTATTCCAAGAAGTCTTGTGATATCTAATAGATTTGAGGTTCAGAGAATATTTAGAATCCAAGGGAATTTGGAGTGAGGAGAGGGAAGATGGCGGCGTAGGAGGACGCTGGGCTCACCGCGCGTCCTGCTGATCACTTAGATTCCACCTACACCTACCTAAATAACCCAGAAAACCACCAGAGGATTAGCAGAAGGAGTCACCGGAGCCAAGCGCAGACGAGAGGCCCACGGAAGAGGGTAGGAAGGGTGGCGAGGCGGTGCGCGCTCCACGGACTGGCGGGAGGGAGCCGGGGCGGAGGGGCGGCTCGCTGGCCAAGCAGAGCCCCCGAGCCTGGCTTGCAAAATCGGAGGGGCCTGACGGACTGTGTTCCGACAGCAAGCGCGACTTACCGTCTGGGAGGTCATAAGTTAACAGCTCTGCTCAGAAAGCGGGAAGGCTGGAGGACAAAGGGAAGGAGAGCTGCTGAGCCCCCGGACGACAGAGCTCAGTTTGGTGGAGATGTAAAGAAGAATCAGGGTCTGAATCATCATCAGAGTTTACAAGACATTTATGAAAAGGAGAATTACAGATTTCCATGAAACATTTGGAACATACAGGAGTCCCAGTGTCTAAAGAATATGTGTTATTTCTGTGAGTCTTGGGGTGTACAGCATACTGAGGGCTCATGGACATAGGGTGGCAGAGAAGTGCTGAGACTTTGGAGGTATAATCCTCACCATTTAGAAGATTAAGAGGATTCATTTGAGACTGGGAACTCTGAAAATTTTGTGGGAATTGATAGTCCTTGCAACAACTTTTACAGACAGAAATTTTGTGCCTTCTGTTTCTGTGATACTTGTTATCTGTGAATGTGTTTGGGTGTGAAAGGCTCTGGCTGTGCTCTTCCTTTAGCTTTTGCTGTGACTTTTGATTGCCAATGAGAGTTGGAGACACTTCTTTAAATCTCACAATCTTGTCATCACTCAGATATCTTACAAAGTGAATTCTGGAAACTGCTAGGAAGAGAATAAAACATGAGCAAAAACAACAAATAAATAATAAAGTTTTACCTTGACATTCACATTACAACACAAATATGTGCAAAGAAAAAAATGCCATTTTATTCAATAGATTATTGTTAACTGGTATTTCAAAAGGAGGCCATGATCCTAAATTTTCTGCTCAAGTAGGTGTCATCTTGAGCTTATTAATAAATAAAAAAATGAAAGATTTTATCTTATATTTCTTATTAACAAATAAAAAATGAAAAAAAATTCATCTTATATTTCTATACTGCTCAGATTCAGAGAGCTTATTTTTAAGGAGATAACTCATTTAACAGGAATTCATTGGCACAATGTGTCCAAAATAAAACTGACTTTAGAAAGTTTGGTTACCACAGATCTGCATTATCTTTTTCATTTTGCTTCTAGAAATACTAGCTATTTATTATTTACTGGAATATAATCCCTGTAATTTATACCATCTCCATGCTTGGAGACAAATTTTTCTTTGGCTTGATATGTGTGTCAAAATTGCAAATTTTTTTGATATTATCAAGGATAAATTTCTGTAGCTATCATGAACTCATTGGAACATGATTTTGAAAATATAGACATTTACCAATAAAACTGAACTAAAAAATTCAGTAAATGTCATTGTTTTCTAGGTAAATGGGCAAGAAAAAAATAAAAAGCAACAAAAGAAGACCTCCTTCTACCATTTCCTCAAGGTCTTAAAGACATTTTTGTTATGTTTTGGCACTAAACATAAAATCATACTTGGGAAAGAGTCAAAGAATGTTGGGTGGTAGTTTCCACTTAGAAATTGATAGTGACTTTTTACAGAGAAGAAGATATGTCTTTTCATAAACTTTCCTTTAATGGCATATAGAATCCTTAAGATAAATTTTTAATTGCATACTCTTTAGGCATTTATAAAAGAGACAACTTAAATTAGATACATTCTGAAAAGTATTCAATAGGGTATACTACATATGACATTATCTACAATGAAACTTTTTTTTTTACTGTATAACCCTCACAGATTTATTTCTAAGAAAAGCAGCTCATATTCTTGTAAATACATGAAGTCATTATGTTGCTTTTGATAACATGATAGCATTCACTGGTGCTCATGTAATGCAAAAGACATGAGATGTTGATAGTATTTGTATGTTTTATAGTAAATACTAGAAGCACAACTACAGATTTTCTATCCCAAACAATGTATAAACAAATATTGAAGGAAAGTGGTATTAATGTCTGGTATTCAACAGCACGTAATATATATTTTACTCATACACTGCTATTATTATAAATTAGTGACAGGGGTTTAGAGCCTGAAAGAAACAAAAAAGTGATGTAATTTTGCTATTTGTAGTACTTATTCACATTCAAGATAATAGTCAAATATACTAAAACAATTATAAACAATATGGCTGTAAAATAAATTGGAAGTATATGGGTATTCAAGGTATACAAGGTTCTTAAACTGGATGAGAAAAGAACACTGAAAAATGCCATATCAAATATGAGAGTTATATCACTAAACTGATATCTTAAACTATCTTAAAACTAATATCTTAAAACTAAGAGTGAGATGCATATCTGACAGCAGTACTCAGGCTGCTCTATAGAGATAGAGAACTTAAATTATAATCAAGAAAGTATCTCTCATTTAAAGCCTGAAGATGTATTTCTGACTTCCAAAAGCCAAAGGATATGTTCATATGCATAAGAAAAATAAAAATCAACTTATTTATACATGATTATCTGTACTTGCAGAGTTTGGTGTGGCTACAGCACAGAATGCATTGGGTGTATAGTGGAGATCTCAATCAGAAGTACTCTTTTTATGCCTTTTAAAGGAGGATATAGAAATGAATAAATGACAACATAGTAGACTCTTAATGACATTATCAGAGAATAATAGTGGTTTTTATGTGATTTAGAGGACTCAATATTATGTGTGTAAGAAAGATCGCTGGTTTTCAAACAGCCTGTGTTTGAGAATTTGGTTCTATCATGTGTTAGTGATATGATTTGGGCAAGTTATACAACATTCAAAAGCCATCGTTTCTTCAGCCTAAAACAATTATAATTATATCTACCTTTTAAAGCTGTTGTATGGGTTAGATGAGATACTCTATAAATGTTAGGTATTTCTATTCTCTCAAGATACAAAAATATAATATTGTGGAGATTGTTGTACTAGTTTTTCCCCTTGTGAATCTTATATACCTAATGACTAGTAGCCAATTTTGAACTATTCTGTTAATTTTCTAATATTCTGAAAGTTGGGAAGAATAGTTATAAGGACTAAATTTTAGGCATTTTAAATTTATATACAGAATTACAGTACTATTGTTCCAAGAAGTCCAATAGCTATATTTCCCACACTGTTTCATAGAGTGAAAATAAAGCTGATTCATCATAAAATGTTGTTACTAAAAAAAGTATTTATTTAAATATAATTAAAGAAATACTTATCAACACAAACTATAGACACAGCAAGATTATGACAAGTGCAAATTCCTACAAATTGACAATTATTATTACTATAATTGTGATAGCTTGAATGATATGCAATTGATACTCATGTCATTAACTTTGAAAAAAGACTTGATATTCAAATGAAAGGAGACAACTGTATTTTATTTTATCTTATTTTATTTTACTTTATTTTATTTTATTTTGTAAAAGAATAGAAAAATATTTATTGACCACTGTTTACCAGTATTTACAGTAAAGTAAACAATATATACAGTTGGAGAACGTTCTGATTACTACAAAGTTATTTTTTCTGGTTTCTGCTGAACCAGTAACTCAAATACTGAGAAGATTGAACCTACATGTAAGGAAGGAGTTGAGGTAAAGAATAAAAATGCAGGTCAAGAATTTAGATTACAGAAGTTTGTTTACCCATTTATTCCAGCAGGTCTTAAATTGCCAACATCTCTAACCATCTGGTTATTATTAGGTTTCCATGAATGAAGTCTTAGATATTTCATGAATCATGATCTTTTAGTCAATATAGCACAGGGATTTCAACTTCTTGAAAAGGAATGGTGTGCTAAGAGGAACATTTAATGTCCATTTAAGTTTTGTTTACCTAAATAAAACACACCAGGACTTGATTAGTTTTCTCATTTGGGTGGGGAGGTTGTTGGTAGTGATGACATTTTCCTTTCAAGGATCTTGCAAATAAACTTGTATTTAAATGACTATAGATCTGGATATGGATACTAATATGGCTGCTTTTAAACTGTCCAATTTAAATTGTTTACATTATATTTAAGTTGTCCAATTAGTTACAAAACTTGAAAGGTTAAAGCTTCAGGAATTTTCAATTTAACTTTAAGTGATTTATTTCTAAAATTTCTAAAAATGCTGCTATTCCAGAAACATGGGCTTATCCATGGTTATTAAATGCTGTTTCTGTTTTAGTGAATGTTAAAAAAAAAGAAAGAAGGAAAGAAAAGAAAACCTCTACGTATATATTTTTACACACACACACACACACACACACACAGACGCCTAAAAAAAACAAAAAAAAAAAATCAGAATGGTCCTTAGGTGTATAGAAGTTAAACACAAATTCTGATTGAATAACATCTATGAAGATTTCTCCCAGTATTTAGAAAAACTGTTCTCGAATGCAGGGGAATAATATACCATGGTCTCAAATACTATTTTCTGATAAAGTAATTACAGAAAGCCTTTATTTGTTCAAAGTAACTAGTAGATGCAAAAACAAAAACAAAAACAAAAAACCCGAACAACTTCCCCAATACTACTTGAAAATAAAACTTGATTTTTATTAGAATGTTATCTATTCACACTAATAAATTAAAATCAAGACCCAAAGAAACACAAGCAATCACTGAACTTCACTTTGGGACCAGAATGTCAAGTTAGTCTCTCATCATAAAAAGCAATAATAATTTTATAAATTTTATTTATTTATTTATTTATTTATTTATTTATTTATTTATGTTTACAGGTGTGTTTATTTTCTTTAACATTTTTTATTTTTTAAATATGAAAATTTTTGTCAAATTTGTTTCCATACAACACCCAGTGCTCATCCCAAAAGGTGCTCTCCTCATGCCCATCACTCGCCCTCCCCTCCCTCCCACCCCCTTCAACCCTCAGTTTATTCTCAGTGTTTAAGAGTCTCTTATAGTTTGGCTGTCTCACTCTCTTTTTTCTTTCCTCCCCTCCCCCATGGTCTTATGTTAAGTTTCTGAGGGTCCACAAAAAGGTGAAAACATATGGTATCTGTCTTACTCTGTATGACTTGTTTCACGTAGCAGAACAATCTCCAGTTCCTTCCACGTTGCTACAAAAGGCCATATTTCATTCATTCTCATTGCCAAGTAGTATTCCATTGTGTATATAAACCACAATTTCTTTATCCATTCATCAGTTGATGGACATTTAGGCTCTTTCCATAATTTGGCTATTGTTGAAAGTGCTGCTATAAACATTGGGGTACAAGTGACCCTATGCATCAGCATTCTTGTATCCCTTGGGTAAATTCCTAGCAGTGCTATTGCTGGGTCATAGGGGAGATCTATTTTTAATTTTTTGAGGAACCTCCACACTGTTTTCCAGAGTGGCTGCACGAGTTTGCATTCCCAGCAGCAGTGCAAGAAGATTCCAATTTCTCCACATCCTCTCCAGCATCTATAGTCTCCTTATTTGTTCATTTTAGCCACTCTGACTGGCGTGAGGTGGTATCTGAGTGTGGTTTTGATTTGTATTTCCCTGATGAGGAGTGATGTTGAGCATCTTTTCATGTGTCTGTTGGCCATCTGGATGTCTTCTTTAGAGAAATGTCTACTCATGTTTTCTGCCCATTTCTTCACTGGATTGTTTTTCAGGTGTGGAGTTTGGTGAGTTCTTTACAGATTTTAGATACTAGCTCTCTATCCAATATGTCATTTGGAAATATCTTTTCCCATTCCATCGGTTGCCTTTTAGTTTTGTTGATTGTTTCCTTTGCAGTGCAG